TGATATGATAGTTTACATAAGTGACCCAAAAAACTACCAGGGAACTCCTACAAATTAGCAGGATACAAGATTAACTCAAAAAAAAAAAAAAATCAGTAGCCCTACTGTATACAGATGATAAAGGGCCTGAGAAATAGAGAAACATCACCCTTTACAATAGTCATAAAAACATAAAATATGTTAGAGTAATTCTAACCAAAGAGGAAAAAGACATGTATAACAAGAACTTTGAGTCATTAAAGAAAGAAATTAGAGAAGATACCGGAAAATGGAAAGGTCTCCAATGCTATTGGATAGGTAAGATCAACATAGTAAAAATAGCAATCTTGCCAAAAACAATCTACAGATTCAATGCAATCCCCATCAAAATCCCAGCACAACTCTTCACTGACCTTGAAAGAACAATACTCAACTCATATGGAAAAACAACAACAACAACAAAAGGATAGCCAAAACAACCCTGAACAATGAAGGAACTTCTAGAAGCATCAACATCCCTGACTTCAAGTACTACTATAGAGCTATAGTAATGAAAACAGCTTGGTATTGGCACAAAAACAGACAGGTAGACCAATGGAACCAAATTGAAGACCCTGACATAAACCCACACACCTATGAACACCTGGTTTTTGACAAAGAAGCTAAAACTATACAATGCAAAAAAGAAAGCATCTTCAACAAATGGTCCTGACATAACCAGATACAGACATGGAGAAGATTGCAGATAGATCCGTATCTATCACCATGCATAAAACATAAGTCCAAATGGATCAAAGACCTCAACATAAACCCAGCCACAGTGAACCTCTTAGAAGAGAAAGTGGGAGGTACCCTTGAACAAATTGGCACAGGAGACCACTTCCTGAACATAATACCAGTAGCACAGACACTGAGATCAACAATTAATAAATGGGACCTCCTTAAACCAAGGAGCTTGTGTAAGGTAAAATGCACAGTAAATAAGACAAAACAACAAAACAACAGCTCACAGAATGGGAAAAAAATCTTTACCAATTCCACATCTGACAGAGGGCTGATTTCCAAAATATACAAACACAAGAATGTAGTCACCAAAACACCAACTAATTGAATTAAAAAGTGGGGTATAGAACTAAATAGAGAATTCTCAACAGGGAGGAGGAGAACATGAAGTATCAGGAAGATTGAGTGGGGAGATAAATAGAGGAGAGAAAGAAAAGAGACACATGAATAGAGGGAGCCATTATAGGTTTAAAGAGAAATGTGGCACTAGGGAAATGTCCAGAGATCTACAAGCATGACCCCAACTAGGAATCTAAGCAATAGTGGAGAGGCTACCTTAAGTGTCCTTCCCCTTATAATGAGGTTGATGACTACCTTATATGCCATCCTAGAGCCTTCATCCAGTAGCTGATGGAAGCAGAAGCAGACACCCACAGCTAAGCACTGAGTCAAACAACTGGAATCCAGTTTCAGAGAGGGAGGAAAGATGAACAAAGGGGTGAAGACCATGCTGGAAAAACCCACAGAAACAGCTGACTGCAAGTGGGAACTCATGGACCCCAGTCTGACTGCTGGAGAACCAACATATGACCAAACCAGACCCCATAAATATGAGTGTCAGCAAGGAGGACTGGGCAGGCTATGGGGCCTCAGGTGTGGAACCAGGATGTAGCCCTAGTGCAAACAGACTTCGGGAACCCATTTCCCATGGAGGGTTACCCCCCTTAGCCTAGAGACATGGGGGAGGGCCTAGGCCATGCCCAAATAACTTAACAGATTTTGATGATCCATCATGGAAGGCCTCACTCTCCCTGGGGAATGGATAGAGAGTGGGGTTAGGGGCTTGGGAGGATGTGAGAGAGAGGGAACTGGGATTGATATGTAAAATAAAATGATTTATAATAAAATATAAAAAAAGATATTTGAAAAAAGTTTGAAATGAAGTTGAGAAATATAAAAAAAAAATACACCAATCAAAAGACTAAAAAACTTTATAGCAGATTTATTCATGTTAAACTTGTTCATTTAACTACTCAGTAATAAACTTATGGCTTTGCTGGAAAATAAGTTAACAAAACCAGATAGCTATTGAAGACTGTTATACTGTGGAGGGCTGTGGGGTATAAAAAGAAAACCAATAATAAAAATGCTTATAAATTAATTAAATGTGAATATCAGAGTCTCCTATTACATCATGTTTCAAGCTACCAATTATTGTTAGTTTTTGGGTGCTAACAGAAGACACAAGGCTCCTGAGCCAGAGACAAAGAGCTTGTTACCCATCATGACTGGATGTGTAAGCAGACCTGTACCAGTCCTTCCTGTGCAGAGGGCATACTAGAGACCAATGGATACTTGTAAACAATGGCTCTGTGGAAGAAAATGTGGGTCTAAGGAACCTGAGATTTGTATAATGGGCAGTTAGCATGACCTCTGTTTGAGGTAAAAGTATAACATCTTTGAAAGCTGTTTAATATAAAATCGTATTTAAAATGGAGCCATGAAAAATGCAGATGCAATAAAATATTTACATTAAAATGTTGTGGAAGTCTGCTTAGAAAACTATTCTGAAAAAAAATACGTTTCAAAAATATAAGAGTGCTAAAAACTTAATGTTTAATAACATATTTTCTATATAATAAAATGCAAAAATGCTCTTGTACCATTAATTCAGAGCATTGGATTAAATACTTATACAATTCCCACCTTTTTAAAAATTAAGTGTATCTATTTTACATCCAGACCACTGTTTCCCCTTCCTCCTTTCTCCCCAACTTCCCTCCATCAACACACCTCCAATCCATTCCTCCTCTGTTTCTGTGAGAAAGGTAGGCCTCCCATGGGTATCAACAAAGCATAGCATATCACATTGCAGTAAGTCTAAGCACTCCCCCTTGTAGTGAGGCTGAGCAAGGCAACCCATGTTCCAAAGACCCAGTCAAAGCCTTAGGGACATCCCCTGCTCCCATTGTTAGGAGTCCCATAAGTAGACAAAGCTACACAACTGTCACATATATGTAGAGGGCTTAGGTCGATCCCATGCAGATTCCCTGGTTGTTCGATCAGACTCTGAGATCCTATGAGCCTTGCTTAGCTGTTTCTATGGCTTTTCTTGTGACGGCCTTGACCGCTACTACAATCCTTCCTCCCTTTCTTTGTCAGGATCCCTGAACTCAGCCTAATCTTTGGCTATAGAGCTCTGCATTTGTTTTTATCGGTTACTGAAAGAAAGCTCTCTGATAACAACTGGGTAGTCACCAATTTATGAGTATGGCAGAATATCATTAGGCATCATTACATTGACATTTTTTCTCCAATAGTGTTTGGTTTTATCCTAAGTCTCTGGGTCATCCAGCCATTGAGTCCTGGAACTCCGGGCAGTGTCAGGAGTGGACGCACTGTCACGGCACGGGTTTCAGGCTGGACCAGTCATTGGTTAGCTACTCCCACGATCTCTGTGCCACCCTTACCCCAGAACATCCCATAAGCAAGACAGACTGTAGGTCAAAGATTATGTGGCTGGTTGGTGCCCCAATTCCTACCCTGGAAGTCTTGCCTGTTCATAGGAAATGGACAGTTCAGGCTATAGGCGCACTGTTGCTAGGAGTTTTAACAGGGGTCCTTGTAGATTCTGGGGAGTTTACCTTGTACCGGGTTCCTTTCTGACCCCAAAATGTTCTCCCTTTCCAGTTATCTCTTTCAGTAACCTTCCTCTTCATCCATTCCCAACCTGGTCCCTCATGTTTCCATGCCCTGTCCACCTACAAAAATATCTCCTATTCCCTCTTCCCAGGGAGATCCATCAATCCCCCTTGGGCCTGCATTGTTATCTAGCCACTTTGTTATTCTTTACAGCAGAGCTAATATCCACTTATAAGTGAGTACATACTATGTCTTTCTGGGTCTGGGTTACCTCACTCAGGATGATTTTTTTTCTAGATCCATCCATTTGCCTTTAAATTTCCCAATGTCATAATTTTAACAGTTGAATAATACTCCACTGTAGAAATGTACCATTTTTTCTTCATGTGATGGGTATTTAGGTTGTTTGCAAGTTCTGGCTATTATGAATAAGATTACTATGAACATAGGTGAGTAAGTATCCTTGAGGTATGATGGAGTATCCTTTGGGTACATGCCCAGGAGTGGTATTACTGAGTCTTGAAATCCTTAAGCACATTATATTTTACATTGTTTGCACTGTCAATGTCATTACCTCATCTTAGAATTATATTATACATATTAAATACCTGTGCAAGAATATCACTTTGTGACCAAAGATGGCTCAGTGGGAAAAGACACTGGCTCCCAAGGTTGAAGTTCCAGTTCATTTCCAGAACCTACATGGTGAAGGCAGGAAGCTGACTCCTGAAACTTACCCTCTGGCCCACATAGATATCCCATGGCATGTGAAAACACACACACACACACACACACACACACGTTTAAAATGACCTTATATAACCCATTACCATTTACAGTGAATATACACTAATAAAAATTTTATAAATTATATCATATGTAACTATATCATCATATTGTACATACTTGTACTGTGTATAATCTATGTGATATAGAATTACATATCATATGTCATACATTATATAAATATATCAAATCTCATACAGAAGCTTCTCCTCATTAGAAAACTTAACCATTTTAAACTAGCCATCTGGTTAACTCTCCCTAACCCTTAACCATTATGTACTAAATATCTCCATTTCTTGGTCTAAAGCTTGGACCTTACCTTCCTGATTACTTTTCCCTGAGCATAGCTTTAGTGCCGATTCTTTCAAACGCGACATCTGTAATCTCTAGAACTTCAGTTTGTAAGTTATTTTTTGTTCCTGCCATTCACCCACTGATCAATGTGATGAGTCTTCAACTTTTCAAACCATATGGAACATAGTTATAGGAATTCCTCGCAATTCTACTATACCATGAAAATTTAGAGAATGCTAATTTCTTAGTATTATACATAAACATATTATACATAAACATTTCCATTAACATATCACCTGATAATCACAAGGTCCTGGATTTCTGGATTCTTCTTTCTGAGTTTTCAATGAAGTTCGAGGAATGGAAGAAGTAAATCCAGTTTTCTTTGGTTTCTTCAAGCGGGGTTTTTTAACCTTGGCAATTAAAGTGTTCCTTGAAATATCATAAAAACCAGGACCTAAAATTATGATGAATATTGCATATAAGAATAAGTACACTTCCTAAGAATTTTTTTGAACTCAGCAACACTACATAAACATTTCAGAGTGGGGTCCATATTATTTCTGGCTAAAACACAACAGTATAGACACTTTTTAAAAATTTATCAAAGGCTTACAAAGTTAATGAGTAAATATGAATGAATGTCAGAGCATGCAAAGAAAGCAGTGACAAAATTCTAAATGAGTCTACTTATACAAAAATTTCTAAAACATAGGTTCAGAACAGTTGCCTGGAGACAAGCATGGGGGTGGACATTAATGTTAATGGTGCATGTGAGAAACTTTAAAGAGTGGTGGGACTATTCCAAAACTTGATAACAGCAGTGGTTAGTGTTGTGAAAAAGCTAGCAGCTTGATACCTTTCTAAAAAGCACATACTATACCAAGCTGTAGTGGCCATTCCGGGAAATCATTGACAAAGGGAATCTCCAATGTGTTGAGAAGGAATGTCCTGAGAATGATGGTAGCTACATTCCTCCCTAGTGACATCCTGGATCCACAAGGTATCAAATCATCAAATCAGAGCTACCAAATTATTCCTTCCACGATAACTCGCACAGCCTAGATTACTTAAACATCCTCCTCTTGCCTTTAGTAGGACTCCTTAAATCCCTACCTAATACCCTAATCTTTCCTAGTGGCCTACTTTGATTTCTGTTGCAGTGATTTTAAAAAAAAAAAAAATTGACCAAAAACAACCAGGGCATAGGAACAATCAGACTGAAACACTATGTGTAAACACTTCAGTGTCTGTCATCTGAGAGTCACAATCTTCTGGGATCTAAAGAGTTTGGGCAGCTCCACCTTTCCTGTCCTACTACTCACAGCACACAGCTTGTCTTGGCATCTTGTGCTAGCTCTACTCCACACCTTTGGTGGTCACCCCATACTCCTGGCATTTCCAGTATGCTAAGATGTCCTCTTCAGCAGAGGTTGCCTCTCCTGGGCCCTCTCCATGGACTTAAACCCTGCCTCAAGGTGCCAACATCAACTTCTCTCCTCAACAGTGTCAAGCCTGGGTGGGGTCTCCACTACAAGTGAGGCGACCCCTGCATCAATAGCCACCTGGCTTCTTTGCAGGGACTCCAACCTTCCCAAATGGTGCTAAGTTGCATCTACTCTCAATGATACTTTATGCTTTCAAAATCAGTACCACATGGGAGACTCTACCCATTATCAAGTTTGGCTACCAGCTTGAGATGCAGTTTTGACCCTCTAGACCACATTATCTGTCTGGTGACCCTGAGAGAATACACCTCAGATTTTACCTCTGTGGTGCCGGTATCTTATCAAACACAACTGATTCTTCAGCCAGTGCTAACCAGAACCAACTTTCCCAGTAAAGCAAGCATTCCACTTTGGAATTGTTAATCCAAAATTTCATACAAACAGTCCTAATAGAGTCTTTGCTTCTCTCTGAAACTTCACAAGCCAGGCCTCCAACCTCCACATCTCCCTCAATGTCTTCTTTTCCAAGCTTCCATAACTTCTGAGCATTCAACAGCTTTGTCGAGCCCTAATCTCCAAAACCCCTCAAGAAACACAATCTGGTCCATCAGAGCAACACTGTCAAGATCTCAGCACCAGTTCGTTTTTTTTTTTTTTTTTTTTTTTTTTTTTTTGGTCATTTTTTTATTTTATTATTTTATTTTATATAACAAAGTCCAATTAAATGAAAACAAACATTTATACACAATATTTGGGAATTTGGGCGTCGTTCTTTCCAAACTACTTCCTGCTGGTAAGGGGCACTGTCATGGGGGATTCGAAGAAGATTCAGAAATCCTGGCTGTAGTCTATAGGGCTTCAGCACCAGTTTTCTGTTCTGGTTTGGTTTCTATTACTGTAGGAACTCAAGACAGAAACCTGGGGACAGAAACTAAGGCAGAGCCCATAAAAGAACACTGCTGAGTGACTTGCCTCTCCTGGCTTGCTCAGCTACATTTCTTATGTAGTCCAGGCACACATACATATCCAGGAATGGTCCTACCCACAGTGAGTTGGGTCCACCTACATCAATTAGCAATCAAGAAAAATGTTCCGTAGCCATGCCCAAGGGCTAATCTGATTAGAGACAATTCTTCAGTTGAGATGGTTTTCCCCAGCTAGAGTTGTGTCAAGTTGACAATAAAACCAGCCAAGACAACTAGAATCTGTGCTACTTAATATCAATTATAAGTGCTGTTTTGCTTAATATAGCATATGAGCCTCTTTGAATGATAGCTGACTAATACATTTATCAAGATCATAGATCTGTACACTTAAAATTATTTTTATTATGTGTAAACTAAAGCTCAATAGAGAATACATAAATAAATCACTAAGGTAAACAATGTTAGAAGGTTGATGTAAAAAATATTTCACAGGCAAAAAAAAAAAATCATCTATTGCCTACTTTTCCTGTCACTACTCTTATTGTATTTATTCATTCCTTCTTTGTAATGAGTAAGGTTTTTCCTCCCGCCGCCAGTCTTGTCCCGCCGCCACGCCAGCCCCAAATAATGCACAGAGACTCTGTATTTGATACAATGCTATTGGCCAGGTGCTAGTTTCTTATTGGCTAGCTCTGTCTTAATTATTAACCCAATTCTATGTATTTCCACGTGGTCTTACTGAGAGCGGAGGAATGGCAGTTTTGTTCTCTCCAGGCTCTCCATCTTGACTCCTCCTTTCTACTTACTACTTCCTATTTCCTCCTTGTCTCCTAGTCCCTCCTATCTTCCTTTCCTATTGGCCAACAGTGCTTTATTCATTAACCAGTATGAGAAACATATACAGAATGACATCTCGCATCACTTCTTTACAGAAAAAAAGCTATAACTCAGAGTATTTTCTATAGGGTAGTCTGAATGAATATTTTTTCACTAAAAAAGCAAAGAACTTTCTACGATGGTGAAAGTTTTTTTGTTAAAACACTCAGATACGTGCAGTAAATATTTTAAGTATCCTCTAAATGGTTCAGTTTTTCAAAAGAAGTCTGTATGGGTGGATAGATATCCATTAGTGAAAGGGGACATATTTGAATAAGTACTTAAAGTTATGTATGTTCTATTAAATTGGCTCTGTTACCTGATCTAACTAAAACTTCACTATATACTGACTTGTCTGCTTACCACTTAGTCAGTACTTACACTCATTACTTTAAATAATGTCACTAAGCATAGGACTTAAGTAAACTGAATTCATTCATGTACCATCTTGTTGAGGACAATAAGTTGCATACAGTTAGGGTAAAAGATGAGCAGCGAACCTGGCATATCCTGTGCCCGGGAGTCCCGTATGAACCGGGCAGCACTTTGTCCAAATGGCGAATCCTGTCCTGATGTTTTCTTCAAGCACTTAAAAGAAGTTCGTATTTCATCATATGTGCCAGGAGCTGGGGTACTGGATTTGATAGGTGCAAATCTCTAGGGAAATGTACAAAAAAATAACAAAACCAAAAACAAAAATACAGAAGATTAGAAACTTAGAAGATTCCACACCTGATTAGTTAAAAGCTGCCTTCTAAGTGACACCGTAGCTAGAGTCTATTTCTCCATGCAGAAAAGACAACACAGATGAATTAAGATCTTTTGGTCATTGAAACATAAAACATGGAACTTTTGGTAAAATCTCTGATATACTAATACTGTTATGTACAGGTGTGTTTCCCTTCCTTTAGAAAGAAATAATGTTGAGATTCTAGTTCTAGATGACAATATATGGACTGTTTAAACTTTCAAATATTCTTTGCTTACCAAAGGACTATCCTATCTAACATGATTTGTGTTATATTTCTCTTTGTGTACATGTGTGAGGGAGCTGTGTGTGTGTGTGTGTGTGTGTGTGTGTGTGTGTGTGTGTGTGTGTGCGTGCGCGTGCGTGCGTGCGTGCGTGCGTGCATGGGTGTATGTGCCTACAAATGCCAGTGTGTAGTGGTGGGGCAGAGGTCAGGTCAGAACTCTTCTTCAATTGCTTCTCCACCTTAGTTTCAGACACAGGGTCTTTCGTGGACCTGGAGGTCACTTGGTTAGATGGGCTGGCCAGCAAACTTCAGAGCCTCCAATACTGACATGGTCAAATACTGGTTCCCTGGGGCATTTCTGCCTTTAACTCCCTATGCTGTGGTAAAAGGAATGTGTTTCCATTAGCTTTTAGTTTTAGAAAGTTGTTTTTACCTCTTTCTATTCCGATTTAATTTTACCATTTGTGAATATATGAAATGCTATCATGCTTTTTAAAAGATGCAAGGAAGCATTCATTCATTGTTGCCTCTCATTCCACTCAATGTCTATGTGAACTTGCCTCTGTGGTAGAAATTCGCCCACAGGATGGCAAAGTTCACACTGCCAGCATAATATCAACCAACATGCACAAGTCCTGAAAACCACTGTGCATATACCATAGCATCCAAGGCCCATCCCAGCTCCTAGCCATCCTTTCCAGACAGCCTACATCATTGCTTTCTGGTCCATACTCTCTGTGTGTTATAAAACTAAACAGTTATGTGTATGTTTGCCTTTTGCCCTTCTTTCTTATACAAAATTGCAGTTCATCAAATATGTGTTAAGCATTTTGTAAAAATAAGTGAATATTAAGGCCAAATAAACTGATCTCTAAGAGAAACAGGAGAACAAGTTGGCTCCTGGTTGTGTCAATTTAAAAAATCCCATGGGTGATTCTAAAGTTCACCCAGAGCTTGGAACCATGGTTACAAAGAAAATAATTGTGTTTTGTAAAATACTATGTGAAAACATGAGGAGATTCATTGAATTTTGGTAAAATACTAGACCTTTCCTAAAATATGTCTAAAATTTCCCAGAAACATAACAATATTTATGCCTACACAGCATAAAATTTGACCCCTAAGACTACCTTCTTAATTGGACTGTTTCTTTTTCTATTGTGATAATTAATATATCTTTTTATATGCAACTGAACAGACTGCCTTTATCTCCTCTGTGTCTTCTGCCATTACACTCTTTCACTATCATCCATTTGAACAAAATTATTATTTCTCTTTTCTGTTTACAAAATATAATTCAATTTTGGTGACAAATGACATAAGATTACAACTATATATTAGATAATTGGAAGTTGCATAAAAACTTGAAAGTGCTGTACAAAAACTATATTTTTAAAAATCAAGGACACACGCACACACACACACACACACACACACACTATCCTTTATATAACCCCTTGTGCAGTGCCTTAAGTACTATTAAGTTGCTCAAGACTAAAATCTAATATTCACTCTTGAGCCTCTCCAGTGCCTCAATACAAAATCTAACTCATTAAAATTCAATCTTAATTATATCTATAAAATATATCTTTAATCTATCTACCTGTCTCCAAGGAGGAGATCTTAAATGTACTGAAAGCAAAGTAGTTGTCTATAGTCACCTGAAAGTTAATAACTTTCCCAAGTTAAATAAAATAATCAGAGCTGCACATAGCACAAGTAGATAAATTTCACAACCACCATACCTGGAGGCTTCCGCATTACAAATGCTTATCAGACTCTTCATTTCCTTGCCATAGAAATGCCATAAACATCTTTCAGTCTGCTTAGTGCTTAGCGTGTTCCTGAAAGGATGTGAAGCAGTTGCTATGGAACCAATGCTCTGACTGCATGTTCATCACTAGGAAAGGTCACATATGACCAATGGCAGGTATGACAGAATACCTTTATGCCATTCTCCAAAAGTTACATGTTTCCACATGGGCTACATTTAATACTCCATGTATGCATTAACAATGTACATATTAAGAATAAAATTGGTATTTCTGATCATTTGAACAGTTCTCCAGCCCTGAGGACTGTCTCTCCTCCCCAGAATTCCTGGACCACATTAGGAAGGTAATGCTGGTAATTGATGCTGCAGTGACCAACGCGGAGGACCAGTCTTCTCTGGAGGAGTACCTGGCTGGCTTGGGCAGGAAGCACCGGGCTGTGGGAGTGAGGCTCAGCTCCTTCTCGACAGTGGGTGAGTCCCTGCTCTACATGCTGGAGAAGTGCCTGGGTCCTGACTTCACACCAGCCACAAAGGCCGCCTGGAGCCAATTCTACGGAGCTGTGGTGCAAGCCATGAGCCGAGGCTGGGATGAGGAGTAAAGGAAGGGCCAGTGCCCTCTCCTATCTCTCTGTCTGTCTATTGATCTGTCTGTAGTAGCCTCAGCCTCTCCCCCACGGCTGCCCTGCACCTTGGCCCTCATGCCCTTGGCCATCCTAGAGAGGTGTTGGGAAAGGGCTCTGTCTCAGATCCCGGTCAAATGCAGAGAGGTGGTTTTTCCTTCCAGAAGAGACTTTGGGCTCCCCTCGTCCCCATAGATGCACCCTGCATGCCTGATTAGCTCTCCCCATGAAGAAAATAGTTTGGGTAGTGCAAATAGTTTGGGTAGTGCAAATTTGATTAAGAGAAAAAAATGTTTCATAGATAGTACCAATTCAAATATTCACCTGTGTATTATTCTTAAATTCAATCTTATTTCACAAAACTCTACCCACAATTTTACAATGTTTTACCCTGACCCTGCCCATTGCTAATTTGCTGTATGTCATTTTGCATTTTATACTTATCATAAACACCTTTGGATTTGTTACTGGCTTCACATCATACCTATTACACTAGGTATATGAAAATGGCTGTACACAATTACCTCTGATTCAGAGAGAAAAAAGGAAGATGCATCGTTTACATTCGCTGTCATACTTGGTGTCTTCTGAAACTGACTTTTAATTTCATACTTTCCAGGTCCTGGTACTCCCTAAGTTACAGAAAGAAATAAATACATTAAGAAAGGCTTTTCTTTATACAATACCTAAGAAAAGATTGGATAACTCTTATAGGCTATAACCAGAGCCTGTCACTAAGAGGAAATACTTCCTAACAGCACAAGGAAAGAAAAAACTGTCCTGAGCAAAGCTGCATTTGGCCCTGGAAGCATTCTGCCTGAAGCTTTGCTGCCCTCTGCTGATAAAGTCCAAAAACTATATCTAGTTTCTCACATGGTTAAAGAAAGAAAAAAAATGATTCAAATGCCCTTTCATTCTGGGTATATAACTAGCCTTTCCTCTTAAACATGCCTCTGGCTTAGAGTGAAGCTCAGGGGTTTGGGTGAGGGTTCCTACTTATCATGGGCATGGGGCTCTTCATAGAGCAGCAACAAGAAGAAAAGCTTCACTGTCTCTCACACTTCCATTAATCAATATCCAAACAAATAGGCAACAGGGAATGTTCTACTTTAAATACACATGCTTAATGCAAAGAAGTAAACTTTTACTTAAATACTTTTAAATAAATAAAAATTAATCTTATTAATCATAGAACTGAGTTCCTTATTATATTAAGACAAGATACAATAGATAGATGATAGACAGATGGACAGACAGATGATGGTAGGTAGATAGATAGATGATGATAGATGGATAGATAGATAGATGATAGATAGATATTCACCAGCAAATACCTTATTACCTTGATATAGTATACGTGGTGATAGAAATAAGTAAATAAAGTTAAATTTGTACCTTTTCATATATCTCTCATTTGGCTTTCCACAGCTAAAGAATTTCTCCCTGAAAGTCTACCATATCCTCCTGGCATGATAGAACCATTGTAATCATAATATTACAGCAGCTATGGCTACCTCCAGTGAACTTTCACAAGACTAGGCCTGTCAATAGTCAATCACATATAAACAAAGTATTCACAGGGCCCCACCCTTCACTACTGAACTATTAACAAAGAAAAGATACTGAGGTGAGGTAGACATTGATTCAGTCACTCAACCACTGAGGCATCATACTCCCATGTTCAATGTATGGCCACATAGATGACCCTAGTAAAACTCAGCAAGTTATAAAATAAAGTAAATAGCAGTACTTGGGAGGGAGATGCAAGTGAATCTCTATGAGTTCAAGGCAAACCTGGACTACATAGTTACTCCTGGGCCATACAGGGCTCAATGATGGTACCATGTCACAAAAAATCAAAAACACGCTACTTGGAAGAAAGGAAATTTTGTGATGGGAGTTATATAGGGAAAGATGGCTAGCAGAGGATAAAAGTATTCATCAGTCTTACTCAGCTGTAAAGTACTTACTTTACTTCCAGCAAGGTATCAGGACACAAAATTAATACACAAAACTCTGTGGCCTACTTATATACAAAGGACAAATCAACTAAGAAAGTAGTCAGAGAAACAGTGCCTTTTACCACATACAAAAACATAAAACATCTTGGGGTAACTCTAACTCAGCAACCAAGATTTACGTGGAAGTTTGAATAAAAAGTGGCCCCATAGGATAATAGGGAGTGGCAATATTAGGAGGTGTGACCTTGTTGGTGTAGGTACAGACTTGTTGGAGGAAATGTGTTCCTGGGGTAGGACTTTGAGATCTCAGATGCTCAAGAAAGGCCTGTGGCTCATGGTCTCTTCCTGCATACCCAGATGTAGAACATTCAGCTTTTCTCTAGCACCATGTCTTCCTGTACACTGCTATGCTTCCCACCATGACAATAATGGACTAAATGTCTGAAACTGTAAACCAGTCCCAATTAAATCCTTTCCAATATAAGAAATGTTGTGGTCATGGTGTCTCTTCACAGAAATAGTAACCCAAATTATGACTATTTGTATGATAGAAACTTCAAGACATTGAAGAAAGAAATTGAAGAAGATACCAGAAGATGGAAAGATTTCCCATGCTCATGGATCAGTAAGATTAATATAGGGAAAACAGCCAACCTACCAAAAGCAATCTATGGATTTAATGCAATCCCTACCAAAATTCCAATGTAATTATTCACAGAAATTTAAAGGACAGTGTTCAGCTTCATATGTAAACAAACAAAACTAGGATAGCTAAAACAATCCTGAATAATAAAAACTGCTTGAGATATCGCTCGCCCCAACCTCAAATTGCACTACTGTACTAATAAGTATGTTATTCATAACACAGACATGTTGATCAATGGAATTGAAGACCCGGACATAGATCCACATACATATTAACACTAATTTTTGATAATAAAGGCAAAAGACCACATCTTCAACAAATTGTGCAGACATGTGTCTGCATGTCTTTTGAACAAAAATATATTGATACTTGCCATTCTGCACAAAACTCAGCTTAAATGGATCAAAGATCTCAACATAAAAGCAGATACATGGAACCTGATAAAAGAAAAAGGGGAATAGCTTTGAGCTCATTGGCACAGAAGCAGAGTTCTCAAACAGAGCACTGATAGCACAGCACTAAGATCAACAAGGGGCACCATCATTCAGACAATGGGGCAGCCCAGAGAATGGGAAGATGATATTACCAACCACACATCCAATAGAGGGCTAATTTCTAAAATATATAAAATCTAGACATCAAAAGAATAACCAAATTAAAAACTGGGATACATATCAAAACAGAGATTCTGAAGAGGAAACATATATGACTGACAAGCATGTAAATACATGTTCAACATCCTTAGTTATCAAAGAAATGTAAATCAAAACTACTTTAAGAGTTCATCTAAAACCCATGGGAATGGCCAAGATCAGTAAAGCAAATGACAACTCTTGATGGTGGGGATGTAGAGTAAGGAAAATGCTCATCCACTGCTGGTGGGAAAGCAAACTGTATAACCACTAAGGAAATCAGTGGGATGATTCCTCAAGAAGATGAGAATTGATCTACCTCAAGATCTAGCTATAACTCTTCATCAGACACCATGTTCATTGCTGCTCTATATACAATAGCCATGAATTTAAAATAGCCTAGATGTCAATCAACATATGAATGAGAAGAGAAAAGGTGGTACATTTACATGATGAAATACTACTCAGCCATTAAAAGATAATACTAATTCACAGGTAAATTGATAGAGCTAGAAAAATCATCCTATGTGAGGTAACACAGAACCATAATGACAAACATTTTATGTATTCACTTATATGTGGATGTCAGATGTTAAAGTCACTGATAAGCAAGCTACCATCCATATAACCATAGACATTAGGTATAGAGTAACAAACTGATGGGGTGGGAGGAAATTCCTCTAGGAAGGGTAATCAAAATAGATTGTTATGGATAGATGAGGTAGGGGACTAAAGTGGGAGGATCAAATGGGAAGGAAGGAAACTATGGAGGGGACAGCTAAAATTATAAGCCATATGATGAGTCATATAGAAACACCCTACAGTAGAAGCTTCCTAAAATATATACATGAATGAAGGTGCCCTAAGTGAAATTGCCAAATCATTGAGGAAATTAAGCCCAACTAGATAACTCATGTCACCAAATGACACTCCCAATATCTGGGATTTCATTACATCTAATCAAAATGTTGGCCACAGGGACTCCATAGAAATCCCCAAACAACTTAGGCTATTACCAAGGCTCTTGATTGCTCACCACAAATTGATGGTAAAGCTCCATTTCTGAAGACAAAACCTACACAACCCACTGAACTTAGTATTAAACCAACCCCTAATGACTACTTGTTACACCCACAGATAAATATATATCTCACTCTTTATTACAAGAACATCTATCTGCAATGGATAGTGACTAACACAAAGACACACAACAGATCAAAGCGTAGAAAATAAGAGACTGCAGAATGCTCAGCCTTAAACGGTACAAGCATAATGTACTTCCTCTTCCCAAGCCCCGGGGATCAAAATGGAAAAGTGCGGATTTCAGGAAGAGGCGGTGAATTACTATAAGGAAACAATGGCTCCTGGACACAGCTGCCAACTGCCTATGTGAACTCCTCATACTGTGACCAAGAAAATTTGGAAAGCAAAACCTGCCCTTGATGGGGGAAAGAGTCCCCAATAAAACCTTAACAGAAACACAAGAAATGTTTTAAATGCAAGGCAACATGAACCTTCCCAAAGGCCATAACTATTCTAAAGTCAGACAGTTAAATAAATAAAAGCCAGATGGAGTTTACTAGTAAGAATAATCAGTGACCTCAAAAAGAATACGAACAAGCAGATTAATTCAGTGGCCCTGGAGAGGAAAGAGGGCAGCCAAAGTTTGAATGATCCAACAAAATGCATGTAAAAAATGATGATACTAATGAAAATCTAAGCACAGGGGAAAACATTCAACAAGGGAATTGATATTTTGGAACAAAAAATCATAGTAAATCAAAAAATTTAATTAAATAACAAAAGGGAAAAAACAATGAAATCGTTACCAAAGATGTGACCAAGCAGAAAAAAGAATAACACGGATGGAGGACAAGGTCTACTAAATACTTCATGAAGTGTCACTAAAGCAAAAAACAAAAATCATGACAATAGCTAAGACTCCTGAATATGATGAGAAAAAAAGGAAAAATAAAAGCAAACTTACCCATGCCAGGAAATACAAGCCTACAACCAGAACATGAGAGATAGAGGCGGGCAGGAGGATCATGAAGCTAACCTTCGCTACAAATGAGTTCCAGTCAAGCTACATAATGAACCTTATTTCAAAAATAATAAATAACAATTATGATAATGATTATGATGATGATGATGATGAATACTCTATCATTAATGCTGCTATTAGTATTATTTGTGTACAATAATCCAGAGAGACCATAGGTATTGCTTCTCTTTAGTAATTGCGCCATATTTTCTATTACTAGTGCAATTATGAAAAGTAGCAGGTTGTGGTTTTAAGGTCTGACATTTTGAGATCATTGAGTACTCTGTAACAAATGGCCAAAGGAACTTCTGATGTTTACCGATTACCTGTTATTTGCCAGGTGCTTATT